GAGATGCTCTTTGGAGGGATGATGCAGGCTTGATGAGTGAAATGTCTTTATCTGCACTGTAGAGATTCTATGACACACATAGAAAAATGCATGAAGCAGATGCTTGTGGCTGTCCTATGGTATTCTTTTGAGTTGCTAGGAACAATCAAACTTTTTGAGTCAACAGCGTGGATAGTAGTAATCAGAAAAACATAATTGTTGCCAGGAGTACTTTTGAAATGTGATACACAGACCACACAAAAGTCCTTTAAAATTTATAGTTTGGGTATTGGTAGGCAGGAAAGTGATGATCTTTGAGGCCTAAATAAAAGGTTGCATGTGTCCAAATTAGAACAAAAAGAAAACTTTTAAACAAGCACATGGGAAAATTGGATCACATCTCCCCCCATACATTTCATCTGGCTTTAACGTTTGGCTAAGTGATGGGGCAGGGAAGAGAGGAAGAATTTATTCATTTCTTTTCCTGCAACAACCACTTCCTCCCACAGCTTGAGCAATGTTGGCAGACAGGTCCCGCAGAAGGCTTAGATTTGCTTGGTAAGCAAGAGCCCTTAGTAAGAAGGAATGACACAAACGGAAACATTAAGATGATAACCCTCCCAGAAGCCAAAACTTCTCTGTGTAGCATTCTAAGTCAAGGCCAGATCTCATTGGGTCACACCAGCAGCTCAGGCAAGTGGGTCTCACACCCTGGTTAACGATTACACAAGACAAACTTTTTATGCAGAAGAAACACTCCCTCGAATGAATGATATTTGGCAACTTGTTATGACAGAGTCAATAAGCCAGTCGAATCAGTGAGATTCTTTGCATCACTATAATAATTAAACATCAAAACTACTTTGTTGACTGTAATCTATTTAGGTACATTCTGTGGTTGTGACAGACACCACAGAAATGCAGGTTCCATTGCAATGTGTGTGTGTGGGGGGGGGGGGGGGCGCAGGCACATCGGTGAAAATAGTGAACTAATCTGTGATAGAACAGCTGGTATTGTCCTCTGACACTGAGAAGGTTACAGGAGGTTTAGTGGAGATGTTCGTAATTTGGAGGGTTTTTGACAAATAACAAGACATTATCCTCACTGGCAGGAAGATTAGTAACTGGTGGATACAGATAGAAGATAAAGAGAGATTAAGATTAAGAGGTAAAATTTGGAGTTTTCGCGGAGCAAGTTAAGATGACTTGGAAAACACTGCCTGAAAGGGTGGTGGAAGCAGATTCAATAGCAGATTTCACAAAGGAACTGGATATATATAAGAGGAAAATACAGTTGGACTAAGGATAGAACAGAGGACAGGAGGGAGAGGGACTGATTGAATACTGAGTCAGCACTCATGCCACGTAGGCTGAATGTTTACCCTGTGCACTGCACAATTCTATAATTATATCAGATAACAAGAATCCACTCAATTTCCTCCCTGAGCTAAAATGTTTGGAAAGTGAAAAATGATAACTTTGCCACTTTTTTTGTTCAAGATACAAAAAAGAGGCCTTTTGAACATATATATATAATGCAAATGACTTGGATGAAGATGTAGATGGGTGCGTTAGTAAGTTTGCAGATGATACAAAAATCAGTGGAGTTGTGGACAGTGTAGAAGGTTGTCAAAGGATACAGCAGAATATAGATCAGTTCCAGGTAAGGGCAGAGAAATGACAGTCGGAGTTTAATCCAGGTATGTGTGAGGTCCTGCACTTTGGGAGAGCAAATGTTAAGGAAAAGAATACAGTTAATGGCAGGACCCTGAACAGCATTGATGTGCAGAGGGCTCTTGTGGTTCATGTCCATAGTTCCCTGAAAGTGGCCACACATGTGGACAGGGTAGTAAAGAAGGCATATGGCATGCTTGCCTTTATTGGTTGGGAAATTGAATACAAGAGTCAGGATGTCATGTTGCAGCTTTATAAGACTTTAGTTAGGCCACGCTTAGAGTATTGCATTGAATTCTGTTCACCACATTACAGAAAGGATGTGGAGGCTTTGGAAAGGGTGAAGAAGAGGTTTACCATGATGCTGCCTGGATTAGGGGCTATAAGGAGAGGCTAGAAAAATTTGGGTTGTTTTCTGTGGAGCGGTGGAGGCTGAGGGAAGACTTGAAAGAAGTCTATAAAATAATGAGATGCATAGATAGGGTTGACAGTCGGAATCTTTTTCCCAGAATTGAAATGTCTAAAACTAGGGGGCATACATTTAAGGTGGGAGGGGAAGTTCAATGGAGATGTGAGGGGCAAGTTTTTCATGCAGAGAGTGGTAGGAGACTGCATCGCACTGCCAGGGGTTGTGGTGGAGGCAGACATGATAGGGTCATTGAAGAGACTTTTAGATAAACACATGAATATGCAAAGAATGGAGGGATATGGACCAAGGGCAGGCAGAAGGGATTAGTTTAATTTGGCATCATGTTCAACACAGCATCGTGGGCTAAAGGGCCCGTTCCTGTGCTGTACAGTTCTATGTTCTAGAACAAACTCCATTTCATCAGCAACACCACAAGTTTTACCCTCCCCAATCACATAGTAACAGTAAGATCCAGAAAGAGAGGCAAATAAAACAGTTATACAAAAGTGACCTGTTTCTGAACTGGAAAGCTGGCCAGCCCTATACCATCCAGTGTTTAAATACTCACAACTGTGACATCTCGGAGTTCTCCCAGATGCTCTCCTCCTTCCAGATAAGGCAGAAAAGGGCATGTAAGTGCAGCAGGAGCTGTTTGCCTTCGCACTTGAATACCTCAGCAGGAATACTGTCTGCTCCAACAGCAGCCACAATGGATTGGGCACATTATCCGCATGACCGACTTGAGACTCCCCAAGCAGGTGCTCTACTCCTGGCTTTGAAATGGTAGGTGAGCCCCAAGTGGACAGAGGAAGCACTTCAGAGATAACCTCAATGCCTCACTGGCAAAGTGTGGCATTCCCACCGATACCTGGGTATCACTGGCCCAAGATGATTCACAGTGGAGGAGGAGCATCCGGGAAGGCATCGAGCACCTATCAGGATAAAGTGGAAGCTGGGCGAAAACAGCAAAAGGATTGTACTGCCACACCAACGCCTCATCCACCCCCTTCCCATGATCACCACACGCCCCAAAGTGTAACGGAGCCTGCAGTAGCCGCATCAGTCTGTACAGCCACCTACGGACTAGCCTGGAGAGTGAAAGAGAGTCATCCTCATATACAAAAGACCATGAATGAATGAATGAGTATTTAAAATAACAATGCGATGGCCCATTACGTAGTAACAATAAGAGACCACATTCGGTGGTGAAGGGGTTGGCAATGATGGAATATGAATACAAAATTAAATACAAGCAGCCAGGACAGGAAGGAGTCAAATACAATTTTTGTTTGGAGTGTGGTGAGATAGCAACGCATTTAAAGATTTCCTTTTCATCAGATTTTTTCTGCACCAGATGGCCAGGCAATGGGTAAAATCTTATCTGAGGTATGTAGCAGTCTGGGATCTAGTACATCTCAGTTAGAAGCAGAGTCAAACTCACACTCTATGCCCGCAATCACTGAACAGCATTCCCTACAGAACTGAATGAGACTTTTCTTTCCTCCCCATCCCCAAACATATAGATGCTACCACCCACAGAAGGCAGACTGAAATATTATTCAGTGCTCAGCTGGAGACATGGGTATTGAAGCTCCCCCATCAATAAGGCGTTTTCAGTTCCAAGAGAGAAAAGATTATCATTCCATCATAGGTTCAAAGGCAATGTTTTTTTTATTTTACACTGACTAATGCTAAATCACATGCTTGCAGGCAAATTTAAGAAAAATTTCTGCGCTAAAGCTGTGGTTCTGAAGCACTTTGAACAGTGAACTACAGGAATGTCACATCTTCCTACTGCATGTTACAGAGCAATTAAGTAAAACAGTTCTGTATTTTGGGGGAAACCGCTCTAGTTCTAGTTGTGGAAAGACACAATCCCTTCTCAGGCAGGGGTTCAAATCCAGTTGCTAATGGAATGAGGATCTCCTCAGTTTGCTGCCAGCAACAAGTTGAACAGAGTTTACAAAGTTATGGATTCCATTTCTGACTACAGGGCTAAACACAAAACCATGAAAGTGAGCTTTTCCCTCAGTGCAGCCCTACAGCAACAGAGGGAACAATCTTCTGAGACTGGCTTCCCTGGGAAAGTGGATCGGACAGTGCCAACAGAACTAAAACCCTAGACCTAACCCTCTGCTGTGGTTACCCTGTGAGTGTTTGATTGGGTCAGTGTGGAGGAATCTTTACTTTCAAATTAATAGAGGGCACTTTACATCTAACCTTATGCTGTTTGTGTTCTGGGAGTGTTTGATTAAAGACATTGTAGGGAAGTGTTTGATGGAGGCAGTGTATGGAGAACTTTACTTACAGTTTAAAGGAGTAGAGGGAGCTTCACCTTCCATTTACTTCCAGTTTAAGACATTAGGAGTTTTACTCTGTATCTAACTTTGCGCTGTCCCTCTCCTTCAAATGTTTTGATGGCAACAGTACAGAAAAAGCTTTTCTCTCAGCTTAAGAGTAGAGAGAGCTTTACTCAACTTTAATCCTGTGTTGTACCCATCCTATAAGTATTTGATGGGGACAGCATAGAGGCAGCTTTACTCTGTTACTTTTAGTTTAAAATAATAAGAGCATTACTTTCAATTCAAATGAGCAGAGGGAGATTTAATTTCAGTTTAAGAGTATGACAAACTTTACTTTCCATTTGGGGACTATACAGACAGATTTAATTTCAATTTACTTTCAGTTTAAAAGAGTAGAGGGAACTTTACTCTGTATCTAACCTTGCACTGTCCCTGCCCTGGGACTGTTTGAGGGAGTCAATGTAGAGAGACTTTTATTCTATATCTAAACCCTAGCAGTGTCTAATGGGTAAATATTTTCACTCCACAGCAGTGACTTCCCTCAATGTGATGGGAACAATATTCACCAAAATACTTACATTTTTCAGCACCTAATGTAGATGATGGAACAGACACAAGAATACAAACACATCTTGTTTGGTTTAAAGACCTTTAATTGTTCCCTAAACAAAAAAAAATTTGAAATTTATCTCAAATGTAAATTGTTGATCTTATGTGATTTCAATCAAGGAATAATCTCCAAATTCTAACTAAATAGATATCGAATTTGAACTCACATACAAAACAAAGTCACAATTCATTGTTGTTTCATTTTTCAATTTCTCTGTAACAAAACAAAGTGCATAATTTCAATCCTGCATCATACAATGAACAGAAATAAAAAAAATTATTTTTCAGGCCATTCCACTTCCATTTGAAGCAATGAATTCTGTTATATGCCCATAATTGCTTTTGGTCCAGTAACTAACCATTTGGAGGGAAGGTTTTCAAAAAAAATTGAATTCTTTAAAGGCACATTGTCTGTTTAAATTTCAGGAACCTATAAGTTTGCAAACAGATTAAATGCAATTGGAAAAAGCAGAGAACTGAAACTAACCTGATTGGTTCTGAAAGCCAATATTAACATGATGGCCTGAATGGCCTCCTGTATCCTGTCTCTGGGATACTTAGACGAACATTACTACCACCATACTTGCTGGGAATGATCTATCTGTTCTAGATTTAATTAAAGAACAAAGTTCATTACACTTCAGGCAAACAACATCCTACAATCTCAGACTTCAAGGTGTCTGACACATTCCTTCAGGCAACCTTCATGAGACATCTGGACTGCAGTGGGAGAAACTGCGATGCCTCCAAATCCATCAAATAACGATAAGTTTGTTATTCAGCTACAAAATAACCAGCTAATAAATTCAGAACCCCAGCTCATCACTGACAGAGCTATTACAGGTTCACCAGCGTTAGCAATTCAAAAATCAGGAATCAGATGCAGTCGTGACTCAAAGATGCTGCAGAGATCTAAACAGTGCACCTTGGCTTACCCTTCTATGTTGTCTGTTGTGACCGGACACCAACTGTTCCAAACGTATTATGATGGGATCAGAACACAAAAATACTTTCACTCTAAAATATACAATTTATACACACAAAGAATTTAAATGCAGCAGTTCACTCTTGTTCTGTATTGTCTCTGTATTTGAAAACAAGAACGTGAAGTAATTCCCTTACAAGAAGCAATGGTCAGCAGGACCTATATCCCTGAGATGTGTGCATGTGATTCTCACCTTCTCAGCACTGAACCCAAAGATTGGAGTTTAAAACAAAAACAAAATCTGATCACGAATATGTTTGACACTGTGTGACAGACATGTGGCTCAGGTGCTGGAAGAGCGAGGTGCTGGGTTTGTCAGCTGGTGCTTACGACAGCGTAACTTGTGGAAAGTCAACACCATCAAAAAGGCCTGGAAATTGCAACTAGTGAAGCAGATGTGCAGACAGCCAGTGGTAACTCATCAGTTACTTAAGGTATTCTTCATTTTAATTCACACAAACCAAAGGAACAGTCGACAACAGATCAGTACACTGCTCATCTGTCATACACAGGCTTTAAAATGCTTCTTCATCATTGTCCCGTTCTCTCTCATCATGCTGCAGTTCCACAAACACAACCTCTGACAGTGGTGGGATTACTGCCACTTTGGGCAGAGTGCTGTGTTTTGGGCCCAGTGTATGACAGAAACCTGTTCAGAGTTGCAAGCTGCTGGAGGGAGAGAGCTGTGAATGCCTTGAAGAACAGTGAGTTCCGAGCAGGCCATTCGACCCAGAGGGTTGTCATTTTTGTTTTGTCCAAAGGACATCGTTTTAGAAGATGGCAGCTTTACAATGGACGTACAGCAGGCAAGTAGAAAGGATGGGCAGCAAGGAGGGAAGAGGAGAGGAATGGACAGGGAACACAAACAAACAATGTGCAGTCCAGTTCACCAGCTGGCAGTGACATGTAACATGCTCTGTCACCCAGGAAGGAGCAGCCTCAATAAACGGCCACAAGAGCAAGCTAGCAGCAAATGCTGAAAGACGGGGATACTAGGCAGTGAGGAACATTCATTTGAAATGCAGTCAGACGTAACGTGGGTGGCAAACAGGCCAATTCCAACTCACTGGTCTCTACGTGACCTTGGTGAGCCTGGCGACCTGGCCTTATGGGCAACCAAATTTTAAATCAGAGTCCACAACATCTGTGGTTAGAGATTTTGACAAATTGTTGGTAGTGGGGAATTGAGCATCCACAGGGAAGGGGAAACAACACAGCTCTCTCTCCCTCTCAACCCCACCAGCAATATACAATTCATAGCAGTCACCAGGTTTCTCTTGCACACTGGGCCCAAAACACAACACCTGATGCCCAAAGAGGCAGTAATCCCACCACTATCAGATGTCCTGTTTGTGTGAATGGTGCCAGGATTTCTATATACTCATGGTGCACCTTTACTCTTGCTATGATATAGCGGAAAGCCCGAACCCATTACAACAGAAGCAAAGGAATCAAAGGCAGGAAAATAAGACAAAAGGGAAGGCAGCAATGAATCTCTCAAGCTGCATTTAAACAAAAACTGACAGCTATGGACTAGCGTCTCAGCAATAATCTCAGAATTAATTTTATAAAGTGTACTGTGTCAAACAGTGATGATGTGGCTGGTAAGGTCAGAGGGAATCTCTGGTATAAACCCTTCACACAGGCTGCATCGGAGCTTTCTGGCAGGCTGGTATTTAAAATGTGAACAGCCCAGTGGGAAAGAATGATCTAAATGAGCTTCAACTCCATCAACAATCATTCAACTCCATCACCATCACTGCAGAACAGTGTCCACAGATGGCGCTGTCAGCAACTTGCCACAGCAGGTTTCCCTATGTGACTGCAAGGCACCAAACTAATCACAGTTTCAAAGTGAGAATGCTCCAACTTTCCCCGGCACTTCAGCTGGTTGTGTGAGTCTCTCACTTGGAGCAGTGACTACATTCAGAGATCAGAGGGATGAACCTCGATGGAGTATATCTGGTGCTTACTCCATGCACTGCTCTTACAGAGCTGATTGAGCTCTTCAAGGGGACTGTCGATCCTTGAGAGCTATTGAATGGCTGCAAACACTGGCATGTCCGTCAGTCCTGCCTAGGAACTGGACAGTGCTGGCTGTGACACCAGTGACAGGACAATACCAGACAGCTCCAGCCTACGAACTGGATAGTGCTGGTTTATTTCGTGCTCTGGACGAGCAGGTGAAGCCTCTGTTTTGTGATGGCAGTATTCAGCATGTCAAGGAACCTCGGCAGGTTTCCCCTGAGCAGCAGCTCCATCGGCACAAACTGCAGGACCTGCAGCGGCTGATCAGGCTCGCATTCCCGGAGCTGACACATGTGGTCACTCAGCATCGCCAGGAACGCCGTGACCTCAGTGGTCGGGCGACAAAAGCCAGCACACAGCAACACAGCGAGGGTTCCAAGGGCATCCGACGAGGTGGGGCAAACAAAGTCCAGCGCTCGGAAGCAGTGCTGCAGCACAAATATCAGGCCAGCTGTAAAGCGGGTGAAGGACGAGAGGATGGGGAGGACGAGCGCACCACCGTCTTTACAGTCCTTGACTGCATGGATCACATCATCGAGCAGACACTGCTGGTACGAGAGCTCTCCATCGTGAAGGACGGTGCACCGAGTGGGAAGCAGGGACGTAGCCTTCTGGTACCGGACATAGAAGCCGCCGATCTGCTTTGGGCTTCGGAGGGGCTGCAGCCTCGTCATCACAAGGCAATCCACTGGCCAACCACGGTGGGCACAGAATACCCACTTCTGCTCTGCCAGCAGGGCGGTGAGTTCAGACAGCACCAGCTCTTCAGTATAGACAGTGCAGGAGTCACAAGGGGGCGTAACTGTGCCACGTGCTGCCCCGCATTCCAGCATGGCCTCCTCCATATTCCGCTGGAGCTCCACATCGCAGAACGGAGAGCTGACCAGCCTGCTCAGCCTCCTGCCTTCCAAGATGTACCAGGACTGGCAGTCAGCACAACCTTGTGCGTCCCTCAGGGTGCAATCAGCCCCCCGGCTGGCAGGGCAGTGCTGATCCACCTCAGGGCCGAGAAGGCCCTTGCACATCCTTTCTCGCCAGGCTAGGCTGGCCAGGTCCATCCTGTCATTGTACGAGCCGGAGTGCAGTTTCTTCTTCTTGTGCGCACACAGTCGGCCAGTCAAGCTCCAGCCAGCCTGCGACCTCTTCACCAACCAGTCATCCCGGGCCAGGCGACGCAATCGGAATCGCCGCAGGTAAAAGTCAGCAGCGCAGTCCCGCTTCTCCTCCAGCTCCCTGACCTCTTCCTCATCCATGTTCCCAAACAGCCGAAGGTTCTCCCTGATAGTGGCGGTCTGACACTTGTGAAAGAAAAAGCAGCATTCCTCCAGCTGCTTTAAGAAGGACTCCGGGACAGCAGCCCAGACAAAGTCAGCCTTCTGGACGACATCCGGCCCAAAGCTCATCTCCAGCTGGTCAAGGTGCTTTCCCAGAGCATCCTTGCCCTTGAATCCGAGGCAGACCACATAGACTTCAGAATTTCCCGACTTGCTGGTGCCTGGCTTAAAGACACTGACTTCGCAAAAACAGCAGTTGAGCAGGTAAAGCAGGCAGACAGAGGAGCGCTCAAACAGGGTGAACATCTTCAACACAAAGGAGCCCTTTGGGCTGAGGAGCGTCAAGGCAGCAATAGTCTCACAGTAGTGCAAGGGAGATACCAGCGTTTCCTGCTCTCCGGGGTTATCCTGGCAATCAAAGCTCCCGTCTGCCGTCACCAGGTGGACCTTCACGTTCTGGGTTAATTCCTTTAACCCCTGAAGGCAGTCATGGGCCATGATGTCCCCAGTGTTATCAGGGCCAAAGTACCACCAGGGCAGTGTCGCAGCAATGAGCCGGTCGTCCATTATCATCATGCCAGTGTCATTGCCTTCGTAGTAGGGGTTGAGGGTATTGGCGATCCAATTCCAGTCACATGGGATACGATTAGACTTGAGGTAGTGGTTCAGACTGGCAATGAACGCGCCAGGGGCCTCACAAAGGTGGACAGAGTTCAGCTCCCCATTCTGGAGCGCCTCAAGTGGGAGCAAGGAAAACGTGCACAAGATCTCGTGAAACTTGCACCAGGCCTGCGTGCACAACTCAGCATTCACGGTGCTCCGTACCACCGGGATGACCTTCCCTGCTCGGTTGGTAAAGGCAGTGTGCTCATGCCACTTCTCCAGTTCCTTGTCACTCAGCTCATTCTTCACATCATTGAGAGACTCTTTCAGAGCCTGCAGCCTCTTGGACTCCCTTGTACAAACTCCCTCAATGTCAGGTAGACACCAGGGTTGGTCAGTGAGCTTCTCAAAGGTGAATCTCTTGTTGAAAAGTTTCTTGATCTCATCAGGAACGGGGAGGCTCACTGAGCTCACAGAGAGGTCCACCATATGCTCCATATGGGGCCGTTTCCGACTTGCCCACTTCCTCACTTTACTGGGCTCCATGGATCTGCAAGAGTGGAGATTAAAAGTTTCGCTGTGAGTTTAATCTTTGCACCATGTCTTTCTCCACTTTCTAGACCCACGTCAGTGAAAAATAATTCCTGCCAAAAGACATTGTTTCCAGTATCTCCAACAATGCACCCCTCCCTCAAATTCACAATCCAAGCAGTCTTTTTGTTTCCTTAATGAATTGCAGACATTTATCAACTGATTAATTTCCCTAGATGAGCTTGACATGTGAAAAATGACAGGCTGTTTGACCATATGGAGCAGCGCAACTGAATCTTACTGTGTCCTCACTGCACTTTTACACGTGGATTTCCAACCCGTGTGGTGGGTGTAGTCGCCCATCAGAATGAATCCTTTTAGCCCCACATCCCCTCAGAACCATGAGCACTGCAGTGCTTACCAGATACCCCTCACCTAATAACTCCTATCCCCCAAACAGGGTCATGGTGTGACAGACAGGCAAAGGGATGAGAATAGCAGACAAACAGGAGGCTGGAAGGACAGACTGAAGTCCTGAAGAAGGGTAATACCCGGGCCTGCTGTGTTCTTCCAGCCTCCTGTTTGTTTACCTTGGATTCCAGCATCTGCAGTTTTTTTAAAATCTCTAAAAGGATGAGAAAGCCAGGCAAGGAGTAAGAAGACGTGGGGGTGGGTGGGGTGGAGGAGACTTAGGGGATTATCTAGTGGGCTGGGAGCATGTCTGGAGGAGGGGTACCCCAGAGGGGTTTAACTCAGTGAAGAGGGTTACAAAGAAACAAGGAACACGGGGAAGTGGGGTGGGGCATATCCCAGTAAAGGAGGAAGTAGGGGGTGACTCCCAGGGTGTCCCGGGGGAGGGGGTTGCCCCAGAGGGTGTCCCGAGCAAACGGTCGCGAGTCGCAGTTGTTGAACGCGGCGAGAGCCCCAGGCTGTACGGTTCGGAGATGCGGCCCAGGCCCAGGCCCAGGCCCCGGCCTCACCCTCGGCTCCGGCCCCGGGACTCCCGGCAGCGGCGGGGTCCGCTGAATAATCAGGCCCCGGTGTCACGGAAAGGACGTCCGGACGGAAACAAGAGCTCGGAGCAAACCACGGCTCAGGGAACAACCCTCAACAAACACGTCCCACCGCGC